AGACGGGTCACCCATGACGTCCCTGTTCCTAGAAACGCTTGCTGGCCACTGATAACCAGCAGTGCCTCCTATTAAGGTCATGAAAGCTTTAAGTCACTTCCATCTAGATTATCCTTAGGATAAATCGATTTGCTGGTGACATATCCAGGGGTCTTTGGGAGGTGTGGGAAAAGAATATAGGAGTTCGAGTCAGAGCTGAATTCGAGTCCTTGGTATTCGCGGGCTGAGTATTTGAAAAGTCAGCCTCTCTGAGATTCCCTGCAAAAACCATCTCTAACGTGGGGATGAGAGTCGTCCCTGCATGATGGATGCAGATGCTGGGGACACTTAGTGAGATGTTTTCGGAATTGTTCGTGGCACTATGAAGTGCCATAGCCGGTGCCGTGTGACCGGCGTTTCTGAGGATGACTCTGTTTCCCCCGCATTGCTAATCGGGTGCCTCTGTCGGGTCTGCTTCGTAGGAATCAGGGGCTTGTGTCTGAGGCACCGGGGAGCGTGTTTTTCCGGACGGAATCCGAGGCCGTAGCAGGCACATTCCTGGTGCTGTTGCCAGAGTTCTGCGAGGTGGAAGGAATTCGGGCCAGCAGGTCAGAGTGACACACTCTGCGACACTCAGGTGTGAGCAGGGCCAGGTGGAGATCCAGGGTCACAGGACGTTGGGCTGGGACTTGTTTTGCCTCATCCGTCACTTTAAAGGTGAGGAAACAGAGGCCCAGACTCCCGGGAATGCACGTGGTATCCGTGTCCGGAGGGAAAGGAAAGAAGAGGACTGAGGATTGGGCCATGACTCTATCAGCGGCATTAATTTTGGTTAACTTGCTGATCACCTGGCAAAAGCGCAGCTGTGGGCCCTGTTTACAGGAAGACCGTCCTCACTGTCCCCCTGTATCTACTTTCCTCTCCTCTGATCAACCTCCACGTGGCAGCAAACCAGTCTCTTTTTATTTATTTATTTATTTATTTATTTATTTATTTTCGGCTGCGTTGGGTCTTTGTTGCTGTGCGCGGGCTTTCTCTAGTTGCGGCGAGCGGGGCTACTCTTCATTGCGGTGCGTGGGCTTCTTACTGTGGTGGCTTCTCTTCTTGCGGAGCACGGGCTGTAGGTGCACAGGCTCAGTAGCTGTGGCATACAGGCTCAGTAGTTGTGGTGCACGGGCTCTAGAGCGCAGGCTCAGTAGCTGTGGCTCGTGGGCTCTAGAGCGCAGGCTCAGTAGCTGTGGCTTCGGGCTCTAGAGTTCAGGCTCAGTAGTTGTGGCTCACAGGCTCTGGAGCATAGGCTCAGTAGTTGTGGCGCACAGGCTTAGTTGCTCTGAGACATGTGAGATCTTCCCGGACCAGGGCTCAAACCCATATCCCCTGCATTGGCAGGCGGATTCTTAACCACTGCGCCACCAGGGAAGCCCAGCAAACCGGTCTCTTAAATAAGCCGTTTCTGATTCTGTCACTTGTGGGTTTAAAATCCCCTGGGGCTCACTCGCACCCAGATGCGTTTCCTGCTGCCTCAGGCCTCACTGGATCTGCCCCCGCATCACCATCCTGGCTCCTCTCTGCTCCCTGGCACGCTCTGTGCCTTGAGCGGCCTGCAGTGTTGCAGCTGAGGGCCTGGGAGTCCCTGCTTTGCTACCAGTCATGTGACTTCATTATTGTTATTTACCCAGAAAATGGGGATAATGATTCTTCCTCCCCCACGGGGCCACTGGGAGGACTAAACTAAAAACGAGAGCTATGGTTTTCTATTTCTCTTCATCTCTAGGCTTTCACACCAGCTATCCTTTCCATCTGCTTTGTCCTTGACTTCTCTCCTTTCACTGGTTTAGTTAATTCAGGGCTGCAAATCCAGCTGCCCACTGCAGCCAGGCGGGTAACACAAATCTGTGAAGTGGGCTGAGGTGAGGCATTAGGGACCGGTGGGGTCTGCAGTGACATGGGGAGGGAGTCCCGTCTGGAGGCACAGCCGCCGTTTAGTTGCAGCTCACTGTTGCCATGTAGGAATGTTGCCACATCTTTTGTGTTTTTAAGAGAAGATAACACGTACACACTGCTGTATTTAAACTGGATAACCAACAAGGACCTACCCTGTAGTACAGGGAACTCTGCTCAATATTATGTAACAACCTAAATGGGAAAAGAATGTGAAGAATAGATACATGTATACGTATAACTGAATCACCTTGCTGTACACCTGAAACTAACACAACATTGTTAATCAGCTATATTCCAATATAAAATTAAAAGTTTTAAAACTTTTTTAAATTTTAAAAAAGAAGATAAAAATCAGATTTTCCTTTTTTTTTTTTTTTTTTTTTTTTTTTTGGTGGCATATCCTGACTTTTAAATGTTGGGAGGAAATTAAAAGAAATATTTTTTTGAAAATATCATGAACACCAAAATGACTTCCAATTTTCCGTCCCTCAGCTTCCTCAAGGCCAGGTCAGCTCTCGCTGTCATGTCTTCTCCTAACATCCTGCACTTAACAGCATTTCACAACACGGTGGCCATTAGTTAAGTAATTATGTAATCGGTTTTCTCGTCCCACTCTGTTTCTGGAATGTGTAGAGATGAGACCCAGGGCTGTGTTTCCTGGCACATCCCCTGTTCCTGGGTGACACCTGCCCACAGCAGCTCTTAACCAAACACTCCTTGAATCGGTGAGGGAACAACATCAACCTGCCTTGATTTCTCAACACCTCGGCTGGGGTCCCATCCAGCTGATGCAGGGACCTGAGTCACCTTGTCATTGTGACATCATTCCGCATTCACAGAAAGACCATTTGAATAAGATACAAGTGGGCAACCCATTTTTTTTTGTTTGTTTGTTTGTTTTTCTGACAGAGATGAAAACTGCTAAAGAGAACGTCAAGTCTTAGGATCTCCTGTAGTGACCACAGAACACTGGTTCCCCCGGGTCACGTGGGCCTCGATTTCCTCACCTGTGAAATGACCAGGTCTAAGGGCTCTTCCAGAAAAGGAGTGAACTGACCCACGCGGGGGCTCAGGGTTGCTGAGCAGCCCCCACTCCCTCCCTGCAGTAACCCTGCAACTGTGCATCCATCGGGGCGGCCCATGGGCAGGGTGGGTACGGCAGGGGCAGCTGCAGCAGCTGTGACAACCCCTGCACAGCAGTGAGGACTCAATGACCAGAAGCACAACCAGTGCCTGAGGGTAAAGCAGAGAGGAGGTGAGAGCTGCCTGAGCTGTGGCCTGGGGGACGCAGGCTGGGGGCACCTGTGTGTTCCAACGCGGAAGACACTTGGGGCTCTTCCCACCCAGATAACAGCACCCAGACAGCACGACATCCCCCAGAAAACACTCGTGTCGAGTTTGCCCTTGCCTGTGGCCCTCTTTTAAGATGCAAACGTCCTGGGACAGCAGAGGCACTGCAGAGGTGGTGCTTGCCGTGCAAGGACCTCGGCCGCTCCAGCTGGGAGGTGGAGGGTGGGTGCTAATCTTGCCTTTCTAGAAGATGAGCTGGGGTCAGCAACTGGTCCTGAGGGCCCCAGTCCCCATCCTGGGAATCCATTCACTGATAGTTCTGTCCAGACAGGGCCTGCCTGTCGTCGGAGGACAGCGTCTTAGCTGATCCCGTGTGCACTAAGTGTTGCACGATGTTAGCTGATAATTCATGAGTGATTAGTAAGTTTATCTGCTCCTGCATATACCCTTGGAGACACTTTCATTTTCTGCACTCTGCATGAGATGCTCGTAATCATATTTACATGTCATAGGCTGAAAAGAGCTCTTCACGTTAACAGTGACTTTCAAACATTTTGAGTGTGACCTGAGCTGCAGTAAGAGATTTTGCACGGCTACTCAGTACGAACTCACATGCAATGAGATGAGTGTGATAAAACAGCAGAGACGCTGACTGAGTGGCATGCACTGGTATTTTCTATTCTTTTGAGAAAACAAGGTTGCAACTCACTAAATTAATTTCTCCACCTCTCTTATGCATTCCACCTGGAAACCTTAAAACTCTGCATTGGAATACCTCTGAACCCAGTTGTCCAAGGGGAACACTGAGGCACCCCTGGAGCAAATTAGGCACGTCTGCACAGTAAAGTGATGGCCTGGAGAAAAGCACAAGTGGGTCTTTCAGAGAATTCCAGAGCTCTAACACTTTTAGAGCCACCTGCCACAGCGCGCTCAACTCACAGATGCGGAAACTAAAACCCAGAACGTGAGACTCGCTCAAGATCACTTAGTGAGTGAGCGACGGGGCTGGGGTAAAATGTAGCCCCGATTCTGCCAGAAGAGTCTCACCTTCTCTTATGTCAGGGGCACTGCTGCCTTGACCCAGGGGAGCTGGGCCTGACACAGAGCTCCCCTGCTCTGCACTGGGGAATGGCCCACCCTGGAGGATGTGAACGGATTTCTCAAGGAAGGTGGATCTCTGACTGCCTGCACGCAGGTGAGTCAAGGATTCCAGCTGAGCTGGTCTTGTGGGCGAGGCGGGAGGCATCTGCTTGCAGCAGGGCACCTGGGAGAGCCCACCCCGGGACCTGGAGAGAGATGGGGTGGCAGCCTGCACCTCTCAGCTGCCTCGGACCCTGACCTCTCAGGGTGAGGAGACGTTCTGCAGATGGAATAGGTGATCCCCTTCCCCATAGGATACTTTCAGGATGCCTGAGACAAAGACAGGGCTGGGAGGTGCTGGGAGCTGCCTGGCGTGGGCCTCACATCCCTGCCAAGTGCAGAGGGAAGGGAGCCCTAAAAGACAGAGAGACAGGAGTCTGGCCCTCCTGCAGCTCAGCTGCCCTCAGGCACCTGGGAGAATAAGCCTGGGGATGCTCCAGGCAGGCGCGCTTGCCCCTGGCGGCCAGGATGGCCCAGACCCTGCAGGCTCAGTAGGCTTCTGCCCACAGCCTTCTGCCCCCAGCAGGCCGCTCAGCCTCGAGGATGCCTTCCTGCTTATCTGTCCTGGGGACACAGAGGCCGCTGTCCTTAGACTCAGCCCCAAGTCCCAGCCCTGGGGCGGGCGCTGCAGCAGGTCCCCAGCTCACCTGTGGCCAGCTGCGAAAAGAGGAGGCCGAGAGTCAGCAGCAGCAGGTAGAGGACCCTCATGGTGGTGGCAGGTGGCCCGGATCCCCGGGGAGGGCAGAGGCTCCTTGGAGGCTGAGCTCTCAGAGGCTTCCAGCAGCTGCAGTGTCACTGTATTTATAGGGCTAGAGGATTGCACAATCGCACAGACTGATGTGAGGGGTGGTGTCGCAATCCCGAGTGAAATTCTAAGAAATCACACTTCACGGCAAGCCCTGAGTCAGCCGGGAGTCACGTGGACACACTTTTCTCCGGCTGGCTGCAGCTGGACCCAGCTCTCGGCCTGCAGGCGTGGAGGCAGTCCTCCGGTTCTGCTTTGAGTCTCAGCTGGGCAATTCAGCTGGCGTTCCCAGAACAGAAGCTCCTGCTAGAATCCCTCTCGCTGGGATGGCTCAGGGAGCCCCGAGAGGCGGCCCCGGAGAGGCACTAAGCCAGGTGGCTGCCCGGCTGCCATCCGGTGTCAGGCCCTTTAGCTGATGAGACCCCAGACTTCACCCTCTTCCCTTATAAAAGCCGAGCCCGTTCTTTTAACCTTTAGGGATGGAATTTTCATTAGGCCCAAGGTTGACTAACACTGGCCTTTTGAGCTTCTGGTTTTTTAAAATTAAGATATCTCTGAAATCCTTTTTAATCTATGGGCCTCTTTTATCACTGAAATTTATTTTTTTTATCAAGACAATTTTTTTAGAGCAGTTTTAAGTGCACAGCAAAATTGAGGGGAAGGTACAGAGAGGTCCCATATACCCCCAGCCCTGCCCATGCACAGACTCCCCCGCTATCTACAGCCCTCACCAGATGGTACGTGTGTTACAGTAATGAACCTCCGCTGACATGCCATTGTCACCCAAAGTCTGGAGTTGACATTCGGGTTCACTCTTGGTGTTATACATCCTATGGGTTTGGACAAATGGATAGTGACATGTAGCCATCATTACAGCATCATACAGAATAGCTTCGCTGGCCTAAAAATCCTCCGTGCTGTCTATTCATTCCTCCCCTGTGTGCTCAACTGCTGACAACCACTGATCCTTTTACTGTCTCTACTGTTTTGCCTTTTCCAGAACATCATATAGTTGGAATCACACAGTATGTAGCCTTTTCAGATTGGCTTCTTTCACATAAAAATATGCATTTAAGTTTCCTCGAGGTCTTTTCATGGCTTGATAACTCATTCCTTTTAATATTCCATTGTAGATGTAATATAGTTTATTTAACAAGTCACCTACTTAGGGACATCTTGGTCGCTTCCAAGTTTGGGCAGTTATGAATCCAGCTGCTATAAACATTTGTGTGCAAGTTTTTGTCTGGGCATAAGTTTTCAGTTCCTTTGGGTAAATACCAAGGAGTGCGACGGCTAGATCACATGGTAAGGGTATGTTTAGTTTTGTAAGAAACTGTCTGTCTTTCGAAGTGGCTGCACCATTTTGCATTCTCAGCAGCAGTGACGAGAGTTCCTGTTGTTCGACATTCACTGGCATATATTTTTTTTTTTTTTTTTGCGGGCCGCGGGCCTCTTCTTCTTGTGGCTTTTC